AGAAAGGGGGTGAGTTTAGGACCCCTCCAGCCATCCTATTCCCCCCCCCCTCCACCCATTCCCCCTTTTCTAATTCCCTGACAGTGACCCTGCACCCCCCTCTTTTTTCCCCCTCTAACACACACACAGGCTGGCCATGTCAACCTCTGAAGACAGATACATCATCTGCCCTCTCCCCCTCTCCCCTTCCTCTCTCTATGCTATTAGTACTGATAGGATGAGCATGAAGGGGGGGGGGCTGCATCCGAGCGGCTGCTGTCAAACTGCCCCGGGGTGGAGAAGTGTGTCAGGACGGTGGTCACTGTACCTCAGAGGGACATTTTTCACTAAAATCTAAATATAGAACATTTTCAAAATAAAAGACTTGAACATTTGTAGATTTAGTAGAGAAAAGTCTTCTTTTTTTTTGTTTAGTCCTGATGAAAGAAAAATATGACTTCATGCGTACTGGACATCTGGGACATTTGGGGGTTCAGTGTGTTTGATTTGTTAGCATATATGAGGTGGTGGGGGTTGAAAGGCCCCATGGCCAGAGGGGTTAGGGCAGTTGATGCGTTATGGGCTGGGAGAGATGGAGGGGGGGGGGCTGTTAAAATAATTTTATGGGATCCCTCTCTTCATATGCTGAAAGGATAAAGGAGCAGGGAATAATCGTGTGTGTGTGTGTGTGTGTGTGTGTGTGCACATGTGTGTGTTTGAAATGGAGTGTATTACATCCAACCCGGTGTTGAAATGAAATGGATGCAACATTTTAGTAAATTGTATTTCTTAAGTCTGAATTTTGTTCAGTTTTTCATGTATTTGTCTTTACAGGATATTTAAAACGCCTTTAAAGGCATTGGGTTCATTAATATAAAAATACGGCCTGAATTGGTAGTAAAATGTCTTAAATCAATCATTCAAAAGTCTTAAAGATGCTAAGACGTGGGAGGAAGGACTTTATTTATAGTTATTTTATTATATATCTCTAATATCTCTTTTTTTTTTAATTGACTGAATGTGGTTGCATTAAGCGAATCACAATAGCAGAGGTAACAGAAGTCATATCTTGTTTTCTCTCAGAGTCTGCTAGCTAGTGAAGACATAAGCCTTTTTATGATTTTTGACTTTGTCATTTTAGCAACATTTTCCCTAAACCAAAATCATTGATGTTCTTTCGTTCATCTCGATTATTTCAAAGTCTTAGACCTACATTTCATTCTGAGTGGCATTGAAAACGACTTCAAAGTCGTAAATCCAACTTGCCTGAAGAAGTATAAACCCAGCTGGGCTTGTACTGGTGATCGTAGTAATAATTCTAACAGGTGTAATTGTAGTAGTAGTAGATGTATCAGCAATATATCAGTACCTGTAAAAGAAGCTCTAAGTAGAAGCAGCAGTAATACATAGATCTTGTGTAGCAGTGAATCAATATTAGAAGTATTTTAACTAAACAATACAACAGACACTTGTTCATAAGAACTATAAATCCAGTACCTCTGTCTCTGTAAAATACAGCTTATAGAGGAAAGTGAGTAACTGTATACGTTTAATACATTGCCTTGTATTTTCGTGGTGATTTGTTGCTAGTATATATAACTTTAAAAAAAAAAGATGTAGCTGAAGGTAAAAGAAAACCAATGAGTATCGAATAATGCAACTTTAAATGCATTTAATTTAGGTCAACTTAAAGTCTCTATTATTTGTCTCAGTACCTGTGAGCATATTACTCCTCAAAGTGTGTTATTATGAATGACAGGTTACTTAAAGGATTCAAAAGACCGATTACTGAGGTTCTCCTGGGTTCTCCGTACAACACATTCAGCATTTCCAGGAGGGTGCTTCCCCCATGTGGTGTGTAAGTGCAACAGTCCACTCACAGAGCTCAGTCAGTGCTGGTATTTCTTTACAATATTGCAGGGGGTTTCTATTATATACATTTGACAGGTAAACGTTTTACAAATGTTTACATTATGTTCTTTGACGGAGGCTTTTGACAAATAACACAAAACACTGACCAACAAACAATCTTATATCCTTTTATATACCAAATGTTTGCGAAAGGACCTATGTTGAGATTTTTGCGCATGGGTATAAATAAAATATAAACTTTGCATCTCTTTTCAGTGCACAAATATTTTTAGGAAATATTTATATTTCTCTTGTCTTTTTTACCTTTATTTCCACCTTATGTATATTTAATATTTCCCTTTTTTCTTTGGATTTTAAATGCAACCATACATGGCTCCATCTCTTTGTCTTTCTTTCTCCTACACCTTTATCCCCCTCCATCCCTCCTTCCACTTCCTTGCATCACACCTTGAACTTGCCTGTGACCCTGATGATAAGATTACCACACACACACTCACACCAGGCTTATATATCATTTGCAATATAAGCCCTTTATTTTTTCAAGTATTCATTCTTTCCGTGTGTGTGTGTCCTCTATCTGTAATTATAGTGAGGAAGAACAGAGGAAGGATGGAGGATCTGAGCCGTGGTTTATCATGTGTACTTTGATTATTTTCACACATCTTGTCAAAAACGGAGAACCTGCCATCAGAACACATACTCTAATTCACACAGAGCTCATACTTTGAGCTCTTTGTTATCGCGTGTTTTATCAAGATGACTGTATTTTGGTTGAACTGGCCGTTCCTCGCAAAAGATCAAAGCTGAAGCCGTAAAATGAGCTACAGAAATTAAGAGCATACTAGTCCTGAAGGACAGTTTTATCCAAGATGGCGGCGGCAGTCGTGCTGAGTAATGTCTGGTGCTCAGGTAAGCAGTTCCTCTGGTGCGTTCTTCCTCCACCAATTACTGCTACATCCCAGAAGTCTCCTCTAACACAAGGAACAACGGTGGTAGTTAGCATGATGTCTGCCAAAGAAAAGCTGATTCTTAATCCCATGCTCACATCCCGGCTCAATAAAGTTTACATTTAAAGAGTTACATTATGGGAAGGTACCATCACTTTTCTGTTAGCTACTTCCAGGTCGCATTTAATGAGCACAAAAGAGAGTTCAAAAAATATTCCGTACCTTCGCAACTTATAAAAAATATATATTGGCTTTATCTTAAAAGTGATGAATTTCTGATTTGATTTAGCCAATCTAAAAGGGTTTCATCGCCAGTACTGGAGTCAAATGTATCACAGGTCAAAAGTGAAATCATTTCCACTTCTTGTTGTGAATAATACAGTGACAGTGAATCAGCCCTCTTTTAAAAAAGAATTAGTTCTTAGAATTATTTGTTGCTTTTATACAGTAGCGTGGCGTGGGGAAAAAATTAGGGGAAGCCAATAATACGTCCTTTCTTTTGGGTAGGGGGTGTGGTGGTCAATGTAATAACGTAACCAGATGAGTGATTACTGCACCCGGTATCATTTTACACACATTTGTATCAGATGCAGGATTTACACACGCCTGTTATCTAACCGACAGGTCCGCACGCACTCTCCAGCCGAAACTCTAAGCATTCATTCACAAACTAAATCAGGAGACGTTTTATGTCTGATTCGCTCCTTTTTTCCTCGCTATACACAGCTCCAGTTTGGGCATTGGCCTGTCATCAGATTGTATGTTGTTGCTGCTGTAGCGGAAGTTTAGTACAATTACTTTTGATTAAATACTCCACATCTCCACCCTCCATAATTGCACTTGCTTCAGTTGCTTGCTACTTTCTAACGGCGGTGAGAGTGATGCAGTGACGCTATCTATCTTCTATCGATTAGATTTATGATTCGAACATGATAAAAGTAGGGTAGACGGGTGGATATTATCCGACTGAACAAAACGTGCATTTATCTAACAGGTTCGTTTTCCACTGACCTTATTTCGAGCTATTTTCCAAAATCCTATGGAGAAATCCCATTGCTTTTTTGTCGAGGGAAACCGAGAGCAGCTTACTTCCGGATTTTAGGATGTGTCACTGCAACACTAAGTTGAGACGATTTGATTGGATTGTGAGGCAAGGGAAGCCAGCCGCCTCTGGCTTCCCTTGGCATGGCCCTGACCAATCACAGGTTGGCAGGGGCATGACGTGAGCCTAATCTGATTGTTCAATCCCTCCATTTTTTTTCACCAAAGGAAGCCAGATTCGGCTAGCCTCCTCTCGCAACAGTGAGTGCAATCTACTGTTTCACCATAACATCTAGAGGGGCGCTGTTTGTTTCACTCTTTGTAAAATACTCAATGAGAATGGGGGAGAGACGGGCCGGCAGCAACACACAGCAAAGGAGAATTATCGAAACAAAACAAAGTGTTTTTATTTATTTATTTAAATTATAACTACAATCCGAAAAAACAGGGGAAGCCTGGCTTCCCTTGGCCTCCGGGAGAAAACGCCACTGCTTTTATACCAGAATGGTCTCCCTGTTCCTTTGACTTCCTGACAGCGTTAATCTCAGTTTGAATTGAAGTGAATGAGGCCTACTGTAGGACTGACCTCTCATTCAGAGAGCAGAGGCTGTTTTATTCCTTTGTTTGTGAATCTGAATGGCGAAAGAAAGAAGAAGCAGCAGATGAGTGCAAGGACAGGGTTAGCACACAAAGAACATGTGAACAGGGATCTGCAGAGAACATGTGTAAGGTGTGTGTTTTTCTACACTGGATGTTTATTGATTTTCTTTTTACACCTATTATTTATACATTTGGCCAACATGTTAAAACTCAAATATCAGTAGATTTTTAGGCTGAAACTAGAAAAATCCCACCATTGAAATGTGTATAAACAACAAACAGTGTGTCCACAAATGCCTTGGAATATTTGTATGCAAATTATGATTTGCATAAAAAAAGGTTGTGTGTCTTTCTGTCTTCACTCGCAGTTTGTGACATACAGTATGGTGATCAAATGTTGCAGACATGTCGCAGATAATATTATTTTCTCCCCCGTCGGACAAGAATTTGAAGCAACAACGTTTGCTTTTCTTACCACGTACTGTAGCTTCGCCTTATGTACCTCTCTGTATTCACAGTGACCCTAACTGATGTGTGTGTGTGTGTGTGTGTTTCTTACAGATATCAGGATGTCTAAAGCAGCAGAGGAGGAGAAGCCTGGGGCTGAGTATCCAGGGGACAGTTCAGGTAACACACACCAAACCATATACATGATCCATGACATGAGTAACAGTGACACTTTACTTACACATATTCAATCATCTTATTTCAATCATGAGACAAATGTGAAATCATTTGTGTCTAAAAGCAGTTTCCTTTCATGTTTTCTAGTTAATATTACACCCTTATACAACTTACTGAACATACACACAAACACACACACACTGACTAATAAGCGCCTCTTCTGTGTTTCAGACTCTGACAGGAACAGCCCTGATGACCAGGTTGGTGTTCATTTTATTCTGATCCTTAAATATTAGAAGAAATGTTACTTTTAATTTTAAAAAAGTATGTATAGTCATTAAAAGAGTCATTAGGAGAAAAAACAGTGGCATTGTATTTTGTAAAATGTGTTGTTTGTCTCTAAATCGGATGAAGTCTATCACATTGACTATTTAACACATTCAATTGCAATTCTTAGATGCCTAGTTTCAGGATAAATGAATTAAATAATTAATTCAAAGAAATCTACCAAATTGTGACAATTATTGATTATTTTTGACTGTAAGTATCACAATAAAGTGACTTTATAGATAAATGAATTCATCACAGCAACAATATCTGTATCAAATGATCACAATCCCATTATATTTGCTTATCTGTTCATTATAAATACACTCAAATCCTACATGATTTAACAATAACATTGAAATTAACCAAGTAATGAGCAATAATTCTTAAGCTTACTTTCTGACATTGAGCTTATTACCGTTTTTGTTGTTTTTTTAAAACAAGATTGACTCGCAGAATGATTGGGAACTCCTTCCATGTGGCTCAACAGTTTGTTTTTTTAAGTTTCATAGAAAGATCTACTTTGAAATGTGCATGGTTTCATTTGTATTATGTGCTGCTGCAGGTTCAGCCGATGAAAACAAGCCCCTGCAGCATCTCCCCCACACCGGCTGGCAGCAAGGTGAGCCACATCCGACATGCAGTGTGTGTGTGTGTGTGTGTGTGTGTGTGTGTGTGTGTGTGTGTGTGTGTGTGTGTGTGTGTGTGTGTGTGTGTGTGTGTGTGTTGTTTTGGTCAATCCTAGCTAATATCCTGACAAAACAAATGGCTATCTGCAGCTTCAAAGCCACAATCCTTATTAATCAATCCTTTATGTTTTCATATAGAAACCATAACATGAGTCATTATTTTAACATCCATTTACCATTTAAAAGAAATGGTCTGAACAAAGTCAACTTAATATATCAGCTTATGGTTCTTCTCCTTTAATTATTTTAATTTGATTTATTCTTGCTATTATATTTGATTGTATTGATATTTTAGTATAAAACCTAGGTGCGTGTTCCGACAGTTCCTATATTGGTTCGTATGTGGACGTGTGGGAGGGGCATAATGATGGTGTGTTTAACAGCTTTTGAGCCTATAGAGTAGACGGCACTGAACATGCAGAATCATGCAAGGTGTGTCCCCGCCCACCTTCACTGATATTCAGAGAGCCTGAGAGAAAAGGCAGAAAGAAGGAAGGATGTGAGTGAGGCAGCAGTGAGTGATAGACGTAGAGATGCACCACAGTGATGGATGGGTATGACAGTAAGAGGTCAAAGGTCAGCAGCTTTTCAAAATGTCTCCTACATCATGAAAACGAGGAGGATTGACTCGAGCTTCTGGACAGCCATCCAGCACACACTTTATTCATGCAACAAGGAGGAAGCTCAAGATTAGTAGTCAAACTTAGGATAATCATGAGGCGTCTTTGACTTTTTTTTTCTTCATCTGCACAATCGGGTTTGTCTTTGAATTCTTCTACATTCTGAGGAACCTGTTACCTGGCTTCAAAAGCGTTTGTGAGAGCGGGTCCATAACTGGTTTGTTGCCTAAGCTGTACGAGACTTAATTATGCAGCTGCTGAAAACCAAGTTTCTGTTGAATGCTCGTTGATGTTGCATCAATCCCTCTCCGGGTTTCAGACTTCAAATGCCTGCTTACTAAGACATTGAAATGAAGTCAGAAGTGGTGTGTTTGCATATTTACAAATGTACTTAAGTGTGTGCACCCGTCGATTGACTTTTCCTCACAGTTATGTAAAATGCAAACATTTAAGCAACAAAATCTTTTAGGATTAGTGCTTCTTGTCTACATGCTCCTCTTATATACAGTATGAGATGAATCCTTATAGTCTCAGACCCACAGGAGTTCTAAGAGGATTTGTGAATCTATATGGACTGTAAACATTGGCAAAACTTGGGCATATCAATTTGAATGTTTGACATTTTCTTGCGCATTTAACCCCAGTTTGATTGTGTGAACATTCAGTATTATTACAGTTTAAATGTGAGGCGGTGTGTTGCTTTGGTAACAATCTGTTGATAAATGCAGTCCAAAAAGAGGAAGGATACTAACAGAATCGTGCCTTTTTCATTGACTTTAGGGAAAGAGCGAGGAGAGCTCTGAGATCGTCCGTAGCACCATTCCTGCTCTAACACCTTCCCAACAGCAGCAGCAGCAGCAGCAGCAGCAACAACAACAGCAGCAGCAGCAGCAGCAACAACAGCAGCAACAACAACAACAACAACAACAACAACAACAACAACAACAACTACAACAACTACAACAGCAACAACAGCAACAACAACTACAACAACAACAGCAACAGCACCACCACACACAGCTGATGCTGGCTGGTAGTCAGCTAGCAGGGGTAAGTCGACAAAGACCAGTGGAAGAATGTAATAAAAAAAATTACATTTATCTAAATTAAATGTTAAAGTACTTGTACTCTATCTGAGTATTTTTAATTGATGCCATTTTATACTTCTACTCAACAATATATTGTACTATGAAAATATTAGTTATTTGTAAAAAAAAAAAAATGCCGCCTTTAAAACAAAAGTTGCACACATTGTTTTGTCTTGATGACTAACTGGCCTCCTACCTATGGACTTCCCCTTAAGGATTTGTTTTACTACTACAAAATGTCCACAAAATATTGCATTTGTGGTCATTTCAGTGAGTTTGTATCTCAGCACCTTACCATTGCACTCACCTGGCAAATAAGGCAAACTTAAGGGTTAACAGCTGCAACACATCCTGTGTGAACTTCACTTAAACATTTCTCACTGTTAGTCAAAATAATTAATGTGACAATTGTCATGTCGTGTATATACAGTGCAGTGGCGAGCCGTGACTTTTATACCTAGGCCCTCTGACGCATCAATGACAGCGACCCTCTACCACACAAAACAACACCATTTATATAAACACCTATCATGACAGGGCACCCACAGCCAAGTAACAATTACAAATGAATTAAGTCGGCACGGCGGCCCACATTGAAAATGACTTAGGCCTACCTTTGATGATCAAATCACTTAAACACAAAGTCCATCCTCCTGTCCTTTTGGATGAAGCACTTCATGGCGGGTCATGCAGCTGATCCTTTGCCACTCCAGTTTATCATTGTAACTCTTGAAAATGACTCGGTTAATAATTTTGCAAACGATGTCATTACTATCATTGAAGTGAGCCATCATGAACGAATTTATGCTAATCATAAATCTATCGATCATAAATCTATCGATCATAAATCTATCGTTTAGATTTATGATTCGAAAATAATAAAAGTAGGGTAGACATGTGGATATTGTCATAAAGTCCGCGAAAATAAAGCCCGCCCATTTAGAGGGAAGATATGATTGGTCAATTGTACTGTCATTTGACATTACTCTCTCATTGAGTTACTATAGCTGGCCCTCTGTGAATGTACAGAGGGACCAACAAGCTCTCCCGTCTTCACAGTAACTCGCAGAGACGGCATTTAACCCTTCACATTCCAACAGAAACTGAACAGGCAGATTCGAAGGATTTATTTATTTGGAAATGTTATTTTAAATACAATTAAATAAAGTTATTTTGGTAAAACTAATGAAAAATTTAACAAAAAATATATAAAACAAATAATATATATTTTTGTAATGCTTTCAAATATTATTTTTTAGAATATCTTAGGCCCTCGCAGAGAGGGAGGAGCGGACAGGTTTCAGGGTCGACGATACAGCGAGAACAAGCCAAACTCATCCTGAGCACACACAAACACTCACAGCCGAAGTCGAAACAATAAGTGTGGCTTGATATTGAGTAAGAAAGAGGTTTATAACGCTGTGAGAATGGGTCTGCGGAGAGCATTTCTCCGCGATCCCAACTCGTCTATTACCAGCGTTCAGGGAGCTCTATGCAAGTCAATGGGACTCCCTGTTAGTTAGCCAAGGGATCCTGGTGTGTGAGGTGCTCCGCGGATTGGTCCATTTGGGCCAATCCGGTCATTTGTTGTTGATTTGGGTGTTCACACGTCACAGAACCCAGGAAGTAAAAAATGGAAAATGAGAAATCTCCAACGAGGCGTTCTGGGGCAGCATAGACTGTGTTAGAGTTTTACTCGCTACAGGGTGCACTTTGAGGGTTTGTGACTCTGCAGACCGTTTACATGCAGAAAAACCTTCATAACACACAAGGGGACGGGTAATAACCAGAAAAGCATGACATGGGCCCTTTAAGTGGACGACTTTTCTTGCTTGTCTTGCTCTGGAAGTCTTTAGTGTTTGAAACAGATTCGCCTACACCTTTACTCCTGGAATGCTGGGCTGACATCACTCTTTGTTCTCTCTTCTGACTTTCTTTTTATGCCCCCCCCCCCCGCAGCTTGCCGCTCTCCTCCCGGCCCAGCAGCAGCTTCTCCTCCAGCAGGCTCAGGCTCAGCTCCTGGCCGCCGCCGTGCAGCAGTCCCACGCCGCTCACGCTGCCCACGCCGCCGCGCAGCAACAAGCCAACCAGCAGCACCAGCAGCAGCAGCAGAGCTTATCACAATCCCAGCAGCAGCAAATCAAGCAGGAACAAACGGTCCAAGTCCCGCCTCCACAGCAGATGGCTCTGACGCAGCCAATCCAGCTCACTGCCCAGGTACGATCCGCCAACAGTATATTCCCTGATTGAAACACAAGGGTTCAGCATGTTACTGGCAAGTCACATCTTCAAATGTGTTGCCATCATAACTTTTCATTGTTCTTTAAAGCTAGTTTATTTTTGCTTTTTAATAAAAACCCCTCTGTGTGTTGTTGCAGGACATCCAGCAGCTGTTGCAGCTCCAGCAGTTGGTTCTGATGCCCGGTCATCATCTCCAGGGTCCTGCTCAGTTCCTCCTGTCTCAGCCCACGCAGGCGCAGCAGCAGCATGGTGAGGCCATCTTAAGAAAGCATATATCGTTATAGAACTATTAACTCCTACCTGATTGCTTTGCCTGTACTTTGTTTAATAATTAGATGTAATGTTTCATTTGGTTTGTTAATTGGTCGTGCTTGCTTTCACAGCTTTACTCTCGACACCAAATCTGATCCAGCTACCTCAGCAAAGCCAAGGAGGACTACTGACAAGTCCACCTCGCCTGGGACTCCAAGCACAGGTAGGGAACATCTCCCTTTGTTAGAGTGGGAGGGGAGAGATAGACAGAGAAGAAAGATCCAGATCCAAAGTACTGATCATAACTATCCGACAAGTTATTTTAATGCAAATCAAAAGCTAAATCTCTGCAAAACACACTTGATTTTTGTTGTTGTCCTTCAGGAGACACAAGTCATTTTATAATTCCAATAAAATGGTGATACCATCTGCAACAATCTGTTTGCTGCTGCCAAAGAAAGGTGGCTGCTTTATTCAAAATGTATTCCATGGCAGGTTATTTTCATAATAGACGCAGAATCTTGATATATTCACACGGCTCACCTCGTGTCCTCAGCCTTTATCTTCTTTAACATAATGCATGAATGCATCCTCACACGTCCGAGCGGCCGTTATAGATTTTTTCATTATGCGTTGATGAAGTCATGTCAAACAGAAGGCATGTGTTCCCCTATTGTTCGTGTATGTTATGCACAGAGACGATGAATGTAAATGACACGTGCAGCAGCAGGTTCCATGCATGATGTCTGCTCAATTAGTTGTCGCGCCCAAAGAGCGCAGGGTCACATTCCTGCTTCCATGTGCACTCTTCTTCTTAAACTCTATCTCCAAATCTCACATTCATGGCATTTCTGACTATTAAGAACATGTAGGCAGGTTTTTGTGTGCATGATTCCTGTCAAATCTGTCAAATGTATCAATGCATCCAGGGAAACATGATTGTTGTTGTTTCTTTTGCATGTTTCCTAGCTGATAACCTCATATGTATTCACTGGGCAGTTTATTTGGGTTCATGAAAAGAGAGAATGCTTTTTGATATCTTGACTGCTTAGTAATGTAATAATTACTATAATAACACAAATTATAATAGAAGAAAATGAATGAGAAAAAAAACATTATTAATAATATTAATTAATTATTAATATAGCAATTTAAAAAAGATACAATTACAAAGTTCTTTCACATAAAAAAAAAAAAACACACAATATGAAACAAGATTAAATAATTGCAACAACACCATCAGTTAAGAAAAAGCTATAGGATAAAAGTGAGTTGATACAACTATCACTTGTATGTTTATGATTGTGATTGTTTATTTACCTCCCCCCTTCCTCACATTCCAGAGGGAGAAGAGCAGCGATGTGCTCGGTGGGAGCAGCGGTGGCTCTATCGTTGCCACCAGCACCGGCGGAGTTGTGACATCTGTTGGAACCCCTTCAGCCTCCAGCAGCTCAATGGCCTCCTCATTGACGCCTGGCTTAACTTCTGGAAGTCACGGGGGTCACGGGGGTCATGGGGGTCTTGGGGGTCACTTGGGCGAAGAACCCAGCGATCTGGAGGAGCTGGAGCAGTTTGCCCGCACCTTCAAACAACGACGTATCAAGTTGGGATTCACCCAGGTAAAGAAACAGGGAGAAGAGGATGGGGGGCCAAGTGTGTGTGTGTGTGTGTGTGTGTGTGTGTGTGTGTGTGTGTGTGTGTGTGTGTGTGTGTGTGTGTGTGTTGTGTGTGTGTGTGTGTGTGTGTGTGTGTGTGTGTGTGTGTGTGTGTGTGTGTTGTGTGTGTGTGTGTGTGTGTGTGTGTGTGTGTGTGTGTGTGTGTGTGTGTGAGAGTGAGTGAGTGAGTCGCAGCTGACATTGTTTATCTGTTTCCATCAGGGAGACGTCGGCGTTGCTATGGGAAAACTGTACGGAAACGACTTCAGCCAGACCACCATCTCCCGATTCGAAGCCCTCAATCTGAGCTTTAAGAACATGTGCAAACTGAAACCGCTGCTCGAGAAGTGGCTGAATGATGCAGGTAAACATCCAGGTCCGTCATCGTGACAGTCAAGGACGCAGAGTTTGATCCCTGCAATCAGTCATTTTAGTTTGTTTTGTTTGTAATACATTTATGTAGAATTGAATCTATTTAGTTGACAGAGAGTACTCAGCGATGCTGTATTTCAGCAGTTATATAAGTCTATACGTTTTTTTGTTTGTTTTTTTTGTCACTATTTGAGTTCTCATTCATAACACTCCGTTCGATGTCTCACTATGGGACAGAGTCCTGCATCGGGTCGGGTACCCGCGGGTACCCGACGGGTGACCCGCAAAAAAGGTGATTCGCGGGTGGTATTTTTTCAAACGCTTTTTTCCGGGTTCGGTTCTGGGTAAAACAAAGATGATGCGGGTCGGGTCGCGGGTATTGCATAATAAATATATTAAAATAATAGTAATTTAGTTTAATGTTTAAATCCTCAGACCTCTCCCCCGCGGGACCGCGCATAATCATAACCTCTGCAGCGCATCAATCTGCTGCTGTGCGCGCCACATTCGAAATGGCTGAGGTGAAGCTCTCTAGCGGAGAATACAGCATTTTCAATAACACTTCCTCAAGAGCGAAATCCAATGTCTGGGAGGCTTTTTGTGTCATCCTAGATGGAGGAAATAACCAACATCCCACGCTTTCTGAGACAAATATGAAACTGCGTGTGTTAATAATTGCACATTTTCACTGCTCATAGGCTATGCGGGTTCGGGTCGGGTTGCGGATCTTGTGCCGACGGGTCGGGTCGGGTTGCGGAACTAATTGGCAATATGTGCGGGTAGCGGGGCGGGTTCGGTATTGCACGTCGCGGGTGCGGGGCGGGAGCGGGTCTTGAAAATCAGACCCGTGCAGGACTCTGCTATGGGATGCGCCTCATCGCGGAGCAAACAGAAGCATCAATCTCATTACGCCAATCCTGATTGGCTGGAGATCTTGACGTCAGCGTCAGGGAAATCACCCCCTATAAGTAGCTTGCGCCACAACGCATGCGCCATTCAAACACCTCTTCTCGCTTCAGAGCACATCTCTATGGTAGCCGGACAAGCTTCACGGTCCACAGACTGAACCCAAATATCCATTTCGGTCGACGGGCGCTTGCCGGCTACTCCTTCTGCTTCGCAGGAAGACGGTAATTACTAACGCTAGTTATTGTTGAAATCGACCTCGCCGCTCTCTTTCCCCGGAAAGTAAGCTAGGTCTGAATTTTTTCAAGCTAGCGTTAGCTTGCTCCCTCACTACCGACACCACGGTAGCGAAGAAGTCTTTTCTTTTCTCTTCCCCACGGAGGAGGAAAGGATTAAAAGGAGCATACTGCCACACCAGTCAGTATTCTCCGGGAATAAAAGACCCACACCGTCCTTTTCTCCGGATTTAGGACAGGGTGGTTACCTCTTTTTCTCCCAACCTACCTGTTGAGAGCGGGTCCTCTCCACGCCACGAGGCGAACAAGATGGACGCCCCTCTCCCTCACACCAGAGGAGTCAGGGACTCGGTGGCTCGACTCTGCGGCTGCGGGTTGAAGATCTCGGGCACAGACACACACCAGGTCTGCTCGTCCTGCCTCGGGCTGGAACACGCCCGAGGCGCTATCGACAACCCCGGCTCGTGCGGACATTGTGTCCGCTTCACCGTAAAGAGCCTCCGCCGACGGCTAGCACGCCAAGCTAGCCTGTCGGAGCAGGAACCCCCCATGTCCTCTGACCTGCCGGCCGGCAGTCAAGACGCGGGGACATCTGCCACAGAGAGTGATCCCCTCTCCATGTCGGTCTGGGGCTCAGTATCTGAGATGGCCGCAGAACCGGATTCCCGCGCCCTGGCAGGCCGGGACCCGGTGGCGGCAAGACACGCGGGAACGGGACCCCACGCTTTACCGAGCTGGGGCTCCCGGTTAGACCTCACCATGGTCTCACCCGCGGAGGATGTCCTCGAGCTTCACTACGACGAGGACGAAGAGGACGCCTCGGTGTTCCTCCTGTCCGAGTCGGATGAACATGAAGAGGACATCTTCATGTCATCGGCTCAGGCTGCAAAGCCTGGAGCGAGGGCTGCTCTCCCAGACGATAGCACACCAGCTTCGCCCTGTCTGAGTATGGACCTGCAGGCCGTGTGCAAACGCGCTGCGGCCAGACTCGACATCCCGTGGCCTGAAATGGCCAAGGAGACCTCCAGGTCCCGCTACGAAGGGAAACATTTTCCCCAAGCAGCGCGGACAAAGAGGCAACTCCTTCCGGTCTTCCCGGAGATGTTGGATGAGGTGTCGGTCTCGTGGAGAGACCGGCCCTTCAGCAACAAGGTCCCAATCCAGGGTGCCTCCTCCCTAGACTGTGACGGAATGGAGAAGCTCGGCCTGCTCCGCATACCGCCCATGGAACCGCTGGTAGCAGCCCACCTCCTACCGAGGATGGGCCCGTCACCAAGCAGGAACCCCACGCTGCCGGCAAAGTCGGACCGATTTCAGTCGACAATGACTGAACGGTCCTACAAAGCCGCAGCGTTGTCCGCCAGGGCCCTGAATGTGGCCTCGCTGCTAACCGCTTACCAAGCGGAGCTCTGCGAGGACCTGTCGGGTAACCCGGGGGCAGCCACTCTGGACGAGATGGCAGCGGTCACAGACATCTAAAAGTCTCCGTGTCCAACGCTGCGCCGTCCAGGCCACAGGTAAGGCAATGGGGATCATGGTGGTGCAGGAAAGAGCGAGATGGCTCAACCTCACCAACCTCCCAGACCGGGAAAAGGAGGATGTGCTGGATATGCCCATCGTTCCCGAGGGAATTTTCGGCTCCGCTCTTGCTTCCATGCAAAAGAGGTGTGAGTCGAAAAAGAGGGAGGACGAGGCACTCCACCTCTGCCTCCCTCGAAGGGTCCAGCCGCTGCCTTCGCAGCAGCAGTCCTTCGCCCAAGCTGCCTTGAACCCTGCTCGGTTTAAAACACCGAAAACGCAGAGGTCGCAGCCCGCCCCGAGTCCCCAGCCCAGGCTGGAGACGAGGGCGAGCTGGCCCAGAAATTCTCCGGTTCCGGCTGCAGCTCAGGCGCAGCCAACCCAGAATTTCGGCCAGCAGGCGAGGAAGAAGAAGCGAGCGGCGTGACAGCCCCTCCTTCTCCCCTCCGTGACAGAGCTGGAAGTCCACGGTTCCCCAGCTCTAAATGTGTTTCCGCCGCCTCGAGAGATGCCTCAACACCATCCTCAAGTCCGCAAAAACACATGTCACAAATCTGTTTGTTCCTCTGTCATTAAACATTTGCCGCTGACGCATCCAGGCTTCAGGCCGAGGGAGCAGCTCAAAAAAATGATAAGAAAAACAATAAAACCAATAAACAGCCCGTCAACTGTTCCCCTTCTGAGAGCAGCTTCGGCATCTCTCAAAAGGCGGATTACAGGCGGGTCTGTGAAGGCATCACCGTCACGCGCATGCGCAGTGCCGGCTGGGGTTTTAAAAGCACCACCGCCACGCGCATGCGCAGTGCCGGCTGGGGTTGTGAAGGCACCACCGTCATGCGCATGCGCAGTGTCGGTGGGGATTGTCGAAAGGGGGCACCACAGTGTTCAGACACTAGAGGGCCCCATAACACAACAAATAGAGACTCAGAGGGGAAGAGATGTGACATCTCCACTGGCTCTAAGGAGCATGCAGTGGAAGATGCTCACATCATCTGCTTGGGTTTTCAAGATAGTAACACGGGGCTACAGACTCCAATTCGCTGTCACCCCCCCTCGCTTCTCGGGCATTCTGCATTCGCAGGCCCGAGGAGAATCAGCCCATATTCTGGAGAAAGAGATTCTCTCTCTCCTAGAAAAGAGGGCTATATCTATTGTACCCGCCGAGCAGAGTCAGGGCGGCTTCTATTCCAAGTACTTTCTCGTTCCCAAACGGGGAGGGAATGGAATTCGGCCAATACTTGATTTGAGGGCTCTGAACAAATATCTAAGAAGATATAAGTTCAGAATGCTCACTCACACATCTCTGCTGCGGCTCGTGCGACAAGACGACTGGTTCACATCAGTCGACCTGAAAGATGCGTATTTTCACATCCCAGTATATTACCCACACAGGAAATATCTGAGATTCGCATTTCAGGGGATCTGTTATGAATACAGAGTACTCCCCTTCGGTCTGTCTCTCAGTCCAAGGGTGTTTGTACGATGTACGGAAGCCGCGATAGCCCCGTTAAGACAACAGGGTATTCGCCTGGCGACCTACCTGGACGACTGGCTGCTTCTCGCACAGTCGGAGCAGGAGGCTGTTACGCAGACAAATGTCCTCGTAAAGCACCTGCTCAACCTGGGTTTCATAATAAACACAGAGAAGAGCATGTTGTGCCCCGCGCAGACTATACTCTTCCTGGGTTTATACCTGAACTCGGTGCCCTTTTCAGCTCGCTTGTCAGCGGATAGAGTGAAAGCTTTCAGAGCTTGTCTCGCTCTTTTCCGGCTGCGCAAACATGTTCTCTTCAGATCATGCCTGCGATTGCTGGGGCTCATGGCGTCAGCCATCCTGGTCGTACGACTGGGACGCTTACACATGAGGGAGTTTCAGCGCTGGGTGGCCGCCCTAAAACTAAACCCCGGTTACTGTGAAATGCGTAATGGCACTGCGCCACTGGCTGCACCCGACTTTTCTAGTACGAGGTGTGCCTATGGGTGCTGTCCTTTCACGGAAAGTGGTCACCACGGACGCATGTCTGACAGGTTGGGGAGGTATTTATGAAGGTCGCCTGGTGAGGGGTCTCTGGAGCAGAGACCTCCAGCGGGCGCACATAAATTACCTGGAGCTTTTAGCGGTGTTTCTCACCCTAAAACGCTTTCTGCCTTTCCTCAGGAGACATCACGTCCTCGTGAGGACAGACAATATGACCACAATATCGTATATTAACCGCCAAGGGGGTTTGCGTTCTCTCCAGTTACACACACTGGCGCGCAAACTTATCCTATGGAGCGGTAGGCGTCTCCTCTCTCTGAGAGCGACGCACGTACCGGGAGTGAGGAACCTCGGGGCAGATCTACTGTCCAGAGGTATACCACTTTATGCAGACTGGACTCTACATCCAAGGATTGTGAGCCAGCTGTGGGTGCGTTACGGCAGAGCCGCGGTGGATCTGTTCGCATCGAAGGACAACGCTCAGTGTCAGCTGTTCTTTTCGATGCACGATCTAAATGCACCGTTAGGCGTGGATGCACTCGCGCACAATTGGCCCCCGGGCCTTCTGTACGAGTTCCCACCCCTGGCTCTGATACCCCCAACTCTGGCCAGAGTGAGAGAGCAACGCCACACACTTATCCTGATAGCTCCGCACTGGCCAGCTATGTACTGGCTAGCGGAGATATATCAGCTGCTGTGCGGGCAGCCATGGCAGCTCCCACTACGCAGGGACATACTGCCCCAAGCGGGGGGGGCGATCTTTCACCCACACCCAGAGCGCTTGGCTCTATGGGCCTGGCCCGTGAGTGGTACAATCTAAATACAGTGTGACATGATGCTGACCCTGGCAGCTGCCAAGCGAGCCAGTGGCACTCATGCACTATCTGTACAGTTTTCATGCACTCAGTTTGCCCCAGGGCAAACAGAGTGTGGTTGAAGCCTGACCCTGCCTTTATCTTAAGGCGGTCGGTTCGGGTACCACATTTGACATTAAGGCATCCTCCCCGCCACTGTATTCCTCCGGGGAACAGCGGCCGGATTTGCCGTGTCCAGCCCGTGCTTCACGCACGTACAGGGACAGATCAAGGGTGCTTTGTCATAATGACCAACCCCTTGTGTCCTGGGCTAACCCTTATAAGGGCAAGCCTGTTACTAAGCAACGGCTCTCCCACTGGTCTGTGGAAGCAATTGCTTTGGGGCTCATGCGAGTCAGAGTTCGCAGGCACCCTCGGGTCCGCGAGCTCTTTCGACTCAGAGTCTGGCTGCATTCTGGACTCTGTCCAGGATGTCTCCCATCAAAGACATTGGTGCAGCGGCAAGCTGGTCCTCGCCGCTCACTTTTGTCTGCCTCCTAACAGGTTGGACGTTCTGCTCCCAGTGTGACTCAAGCAGTGCTGGGCACCTGGTTGAGTCAGAGCTCTACCTGTTAAGTTCTGGTTGGTTTGGTGATTTTCGAGATAAGCTCGTCTGGCAATACGGGAGCTACAATTTCCCATAGTGAGACATCGAACGGAGTGTTATGAATGAGAACTATAGGTTACTTATGTAACCCCAGTTCTCAGAGTAACATGAAGTGAGATGTCTCACCAGACGGCCCTCCTTGCTATGGTGAAGCGAGAAGAGGTGCTTATTTTGAATGGCGCATGCGTTGTGGCGCAAGCTACTTATAGGGGGTGATTTCCCTGACACTGACGTCAAGATCTCCAGCCAATCAGGATTGGCGTAATGAGATTGATGCTTCTGTTTGCTCCGCGATGAGGCGCATCCCATAGTGAGACATCTCACTTCATGTTACTCTGAGAACTGGGGTTATGTAAGTAACCTATAGTTATGTGCGAAAAACAGTTTAGTTATTCATATTAACGAACCTACCTCGTGTAGTTTGTTATTGGTCTTCGTGCGTGTGAATGGTCTGTAAAGGCTAACATCCTAAATGTTCCATCCAGAGGGGGTTTTTCTCTCACACACTCCCCCCCTGCCTGAACCGCCTCCATTGGACTCCTTTGTTTACTTCCGTAACATAATGATATCACTATGTCACACTAGCGCTCCAACACATTGTACGTGCTAAGGGGCGAGACTCTTCTAAGCAGTTGAACTGATACAACAGAACCGTCCAGCTTACCAATCAGAACAGACTGGGCTCTGGTTTCAGACAGAGGGTGAAAAGAGGTGCTGCATTTAAAACAAGTCCTTCTTGTCCTCCCTATGCACTTTTTCCTTTGATTTTCGTGCATGTCTTAACTATTTCTCCCCTCCCTGTATCCCTATGTGTATCCCTCTCCAACAGAAATCATGGCGGTGGACAGCATGCTGCCCAGCCCCTCCTCTCTCTCCTCCCCCATGCTGGGCATCGAGGGTCTGTCAGGCCGTCGCAGGAAGAAACGCACTAGCATCGAGACCAACGTGCGAGTGGCCTTAGAGCGCAACTTCTGCATGGTAGGAGACTGACTTATTAAGTATGAAGAAAACTCTATCTCGAAGTCTTCACAGGGAGGCACCGCAGATATGACCACCAAATGAAATCCTGGCATTTGTAGAGAAAGAAATCTCAACGCATATTGAGTATCTAAAAGGAATGGTGTTCATTGCAGTTCTCACCTGTACACAATTATGCCACTCGTAGATTTAAGAACGGAGTCTCATTGTATGTAGCAAAGTACTAAGTAAAAGTGCATTTAGACGTTTGAAATAAAAACCTTTAAAAAAAACAACGATTTTTGTCATTTTGACACAAAAACATTATTAAAGATTAATCCTAAAAATAAAGATAACATTTAATTGACTGTTATCAGTTGTTATCAGTACCATCTGCTCTTTCCTGCACTTTGTGAAACCGTCCGAGTTTTAAACACATGTTTAGCGTTGTGAATTTAAAAAAAGGACCTGCTCGGTTAGGTTTAAGATAAGAACATGGTTTGTTACATACATAAGTAAGTAAATCACAAGTGTACTTACCTGGGGTGATATAAGTCAATATGTTGATTTATGGGGGGGTTTCACACAGGACATGAACAGTTGTCTCCTGGGAGAAATCCATGTGTTTATTGACCTATCTATCCACCCCCACCTCTTCCCTATGTGGACTTTTGAGCTCTTTATTTTACGCCACCTGACATCCTTTTCTGATCCTCTCATAATCACTACAGCCACTGATCCAGCCTACCATGAACGCATATTACGCCCTACTAAAGCTAGGAGGTCAAGTGGGGCCACAGGACTTTATATCTAAGCTACCTATGACAACTAATGACGGCCATTAACTCAGAAGATAAGATGAGCCAGGTTGTCATAATAGACCCCGAGTTTTTGCATATAAAGGTTAGGTAGGTTTGGTTTCATTATCTTCTATTCTGTAAATGTGTTCAATGTTTTCCTCCCCAGAACAATAAGCCTAACTCGGAGGAGATCTTGCTCATGGCGGACCAGCTCAACATGGAGAAGGAAGTGATTCGTGTTTGGTTCTGCAACCGCAGGCAGAAAGAGAAGCGCATCAACCCCTCCAGCAGCACCACCCCTCCCCTGCCCTGCCAGACCTCGCCTGTTGTGTCACACAGAGCCCCCTGCTACAGCCCGCACATGGTACAGCCCACCCATCCACTAACTCTTTCTTTCATTTTACACATCCTTATATTTGCTTCACACATGGATGGTATTTTTTCCTGACTTCTCTCTCCCTCTCTTCCTCTCCTCCAGATCTCGAGTCATGGTCTGTCCCAGGTCACCACCTGTCTCAGCACAACAGGTGAGCAGTAATTACTGTTTGTGTCTGTGTAGAGTCTCCTCAATTACATATTAAAGGTCTGCGCGGCGCTTCCCAATTGTGTTTTTGGAACCCTGAGGTCGGTCACGGGAAGATTAAACTGGTCCTGGCGTTATTTGGAAGAAGTTGATGAAACGCCGAGGAATCATCACTTTAAAAAATCATTTCAGCGAGAGGAAATGGAAAACAATGATGTTTTTGTTGACAACCACATGGACGTTCTGGTCCCATCTTGAGTTGTTTTCCTCCCTGAGTCAGGATTTATAGAGCTGGGCTTACAGTGTGAGTGATCCCAGGCTTCACTGATATGACAGATGGCCTGGCAGGTAACAAACACAGTAGGAAATGTATTGGCCCGCTGAGCCACGGATAATACCATCCAAACTTCTCTCTCCAGTCTGCAGCTGAACGGAGTTAAAGAAGACACTGAAGAAGCTGTTGATGAAGATCTGTGTCACACTAGTGTTTATTTAGAAATAGCGCTGTAACTCATTCGCACTGCATGGCACCAACATCCCTCTTCTTCTTCTCTCCCCTCAGCCTCCAGCCCTTCGGCCTCCTGCCCCATGACTCCCGTCAGCTCAGCCGCAGCAGGCTCCACCTCTTCTTCTATGACCTCCCCCCATCATAGCACAGCTAGCCCCGCCCCTCCCAGCTTCGCCGGGGCCCTTGGGTTCAACACCGGGTGAGTGTTTATCTTGTGGTTATCGTTTAACCACAAATATAAAATTTAAAAAAGAATAATAAAATATTTTATCCAAAATTCTGAGAAATATGCATTTTCATGTCAATTAACAAAATTGATGGATGAAAGTAGAAACACTTTTTTTTTTTAATTGCGGTTGTGACATTCCTACATCAATTACAAGGCAAGAGTTTAAAACGTTTGCGTAACTGATGAGTACATTGGAAGAACATCACTTAAAGAAGCCCTATTTCCCTTTCCTGTAGTGAGTTATATGGTTTTTGTGAATGTAAATGGTCCGCAGAGGCTAAAATCCCCATGTTCCTTCCAGAGGGAGTTTCTCTCCCACACACTCCCTCCCCCTGTCTGAAATACATTAGACTACTTTGTTTTCTTCTGCAACATAGTGACAGCACTACGTAACACTCGTGTTTCTATTGACTAGCGCTCCAACACATTTTACGTGGGGTGAGACATCTCTAAGCGGTTGACCAATCACAACAGAGCCGGCCAGCTAACTAATCAGAGCAGACTGGGCTCTGGTTTCAGACAGAGGGTGAAAAGAGGTGCTGCAGCACAGGCAGTATGAGAACAAATAAAGAGCTTTTTGAACATTAAATCATGGAGACATGTCCCAGTAGAGACACAAAACAAAAACATGAACCTGACAATGGGCATAATAGGGCCCCTTTAACCTGTCAAATGCTTTTCTAAGTGTGAATTACCCTATGTGAACTTGCGGTCGATCCACGTTTCAGGAACACATTGATGGGACTAAGCACAGGGATGACCCAGGCCCTCATTGGCAGCAATTCCCTGGCTACCATGCAAGGTGTGTGTGCATGTAAGTGTGTCGGTGCATGCAGCCCGTCCCCTCCAACCTAGCGAGTCTTCATGAGTCTCCATTTTCTAAAGACCACTTCCCATTTCACCCTTCATCCATTCTGTCCAAAATGAATTTCCTTGCAGCCTCACAGGACAGTAGCCGACAGCTAACGCGGCTCAGTCCTCCTCCCCCTCCTCCTCCTCCTCCTCCTCAGCACGAACTTTGTGAATTGCTCAGTATGGTGAAAGATTCAATTTGATTCTCATACAATAGCCTGCTATTATCACAGAGTGACAAGAGCCCCTTATGGCAAAGCTTAGGAGGCCAAGTCAGCTTACAGTAAACAGTTGAACAGGCACAATCCCCTCCCTCTCAATATCCAGGCCTGGTGGCTAAATAGCCAGTTTCCACTCAGAAATCTCCTTTTTGAAATCAATTAAGCATCACAAATAAGGTTTGTTGAGCTCCGCTTTGAATCCTTCCTGTGATCCATCTGCCGATTCAGACCTTCTCGCTGTGTTCGCCGCCATTCAGAGGCGGCCCCCTCCAGGCCATGTGTTGATGAGAAGGATACAGTCTGTTATGGAAACTGCAGCTCTGGCTCTCACACAGCTATAGGCTGAGGGAGGGGGAGAAAGAGAAGCCTTGATGAAAAGAGGGGGTTGAAATGTAGTGTTGACGTGAAAAGGATTTGCGGTTTGAACCCCTCAGGGGCCACACACACGCTATGAATGTTTACACTCATGGTGCTGCAATGGATTATAGTGTTGACGTTTACACTGGAATTCAAAAGTTGGCATGTGTCACTCTCACTGATATACGGGTTATTCTGCAGAGAGATCAAATATTATTTTCAGTTATGGGGTCTCATTGCAATATAGTATAATGATGCCTGGAACATTTCAATATAATATCTAAAGTAAACCAACAGGTCACCTCCTACAGTAAAACCTGTCCTGTGCATATAGTCAAAAGTAAATGTTCACTCTTTAATAAGCATTCAACTCAGTTCTCATCATTCCTTTCACCATGTGTAGTGAATAGCCATCTCCATCTTCATCCTGACTAACACTAACAGACTAACAGACTAACACTGTCTGAGTATTCATCCCCTGAAAATGTCAGTAGAAATATGTTCATCTGTAAGACTGACCATAACATTGATACTTCATTGTAAATGTGTCTGTAGAATTGAAAATATTGTAGGTTTAATGTCCAATACATTGCTGTTTTGAAAGGAACTATGGAAATGATTCTGGTATTTCTTTGAAAATAGTTTCATTGTGAATTGGGTGAACCGACAGGACGACTGATAATAATATGTTGTATTCTATCGAGGAGACGATGTATTGGAAACTTTCCTAGTTTCTGTGTTTGTAGTCATTGTGCAGATTCCCCCTGTTACTGATGTGTCTACTTCCTCTCTTCAAATCTTCACTCCTTTTCGTCCTCTTCTTCAATTCTCCCTTTGGTCATCTTCCTCTTCACCTCTCCTTCTTTCCACGGTCTTTCTGACTTCTCTTTATCATTTGTTGCCTTGTTTGTCGTTTTCTATTTCTTTCGCTCTGCTTTCTATCTTTTTGTCTCTCATCTTTCTCCTCCTCTCTTGTATCTCTCGTTCCATCTTCCTGCTCTTCCTCCCTTCCTGTCCTCGCTCTTCTTCCTCACAGCCCTAGTGTCGAGCAGTGGTCAGCTGCCCATCACCAGTCTGGATGGGGGGGCAGCCCACATGCTCCTGGGTGGGCCTGGGGGTACCGGCGTCCCTCCATCCCTTCGCTCCTCACTCTTCCTCAATCATCCAGCCCTCCTCCCCATGGTGACGGGCTCCATGGCGACAGCCTCCACGACTGCCATGTCCCTGGCCAGCAGCAGCAGCGGGGGTGGTGGCCCGAGACTCCCCTTCCCCCAGTCCCCCCCCCCTGGCACCAGCAGCCTCATGAACCCCACCACGTGCCACGAGGAGTCCGCTTCTCCGTGTTCAAGTCCCGCCTCTTTCTGTTCTTTCAGCGAAGCCTCACCTCCGCCCCTGGGAGGGGCCATGGCCGAGTGATCTCTGACTGACAGCCAAAGCATCCTATCAGAGGAGGACGAGGAGGAGGAAGAGTTTAAGGAGCTTTAAGAAATCTAAATTTACAACCTCGCCTTTCAACCAAAGCCATCTCTCTGTCTGATCCATCTCCGCTTTCGTCTCTCTCTTTCTCCCCGCTGAAGTCTTCTGAAGCCAAAAATATACACGGACGGATGACGGGAGGAAGCAAAGAGAGAGGGATGATGGAGGGGTTAGAGAGACCTGCAGAACAGAGGGGGGGGATTTGAAACCAAATAATGATCTACAGCTGGAGAGGCGGCACTGAGGAGTGTTTTTGCTCGGCATCGGGGAAACGGAACAGCATGCTTTTTATCGGCTGGAGAAAAAATTAAACTCGATGAGGGCAGGGATGAGAAGCGAAACTGTGTGTGAGAAATGGGAGGCAAAGAGAAAAGACTTGTTTAACAAGCTCCGAAAGGTCATGTGGTTGCAACCAAATTTAAAAAGAAAATGATGCTAGAGGGAAACACACTTACTTACAAAGATGAATAACCAAAATCTCCAAATACCAAAAACTGTAAACCAAAAATGACAAAAAACTACAAACGGAGAGAAAAGCTTTAGTTCAGAAAGACTTTCTGATCTGTCCAGGTTCAGTTCATACTCCATACAAACATTTCCCATTTCACTCAGGATTCCTTTATCCTTTTCTTAGTTTTAAAAAGCATTTCTTTTCTATTATGTTTTTATTTATCACTTTTTTAATGCAATTTCTTGCCAAATATGTGTGTTAAATGTTTTACAGCTGATCCCAGATGCAGGATGTCTGACTACCTCTTTACAGCTTTACAGTGATGAACACAGCTTACATCAGAGTGTTTGTTTTAACCAGCCTGTCGTGACAGACGGGTGGGGTTTACTAAGTAGCAAAACCCACCCTTCTGGTACGTGAATAGGATAAAACAGACATTACGTTAAAAATCCCATTTGACTGAGTTAAAAATGACTTTTTTTGGTTGTTTAGCTGTTTAAAAGATTCAGATTATTTAGAGGGATTATTTAAAACCTATTTTTCTTTTTAATCACCATTATCATCATCACCAATGGTCTCATTAATATTGTTCTTCAAACCGAGGTATACACACTGCACAGTGCTCATACTGCCTTCAAAGATGATACCACCGGCAGATGTAGACGGTCTTGGGATTTTATTCAGCATTATTTGTCGTCTTTTATTTATTATCACCCCATACCATCGCCATGTCATCTTCCAGACTGCTCATCTACCACCAGACAGTCACTCTTGGATACCAAAGCATCGCCTCTGGCAGCGTAGTCTCTTGATTCGCCCGGGAGACGAGTGTCCAGACAAAACCTCAGCCTTGTCAAAGGGAAAACACACACACACACACACACACACACTACAAGCATAAGAAGGAGTTCAAACCAAAAAAAAAAGAACAAAAGAAAAAGGTGAAGCACCGGCTTTCCCCTAACTGCCCCCAAACCCCTGCCCTCCATCCCTCCCTCCCATCTGCCCCTCTCCTTTGTCTCCAAAGATCAGATCAAAAGGCCAAAAGAAGAGAGGAGAAGAAGAAGAGGAGGAGAAGCGGTCAGGAGCGAAGGAGCCAAAGGTAAAAAAGCTGCAGGGGGAAAGAAGAAGAAGAAGGAAGAGGAGCAGGAGGAGGTGCGCTCGAAGCGGCGGACCACAAAACCAAAAAGTAACCCAAAACCAAAAGCTACTACTACTGCTACTTATGATGTATGAGTGACTGAACCGTAACTAAACCAAATACAAACAAAGAGAGGGAGGACGAGGGGAGAAAAGGGGGGAGAAAGGCCCTGTCTGTCTGTTTGTCTTCGCTGTGATTGCTGTTCTTGTCTCGGCAGACAGAAATCGTTCCCTCCCTCCCTCTGCCAGCGACCTCGGCTTTGTTCTCACTTTCCTTTTTTCCTGGATGGATAAAAATATGGAATAACCTCAAAAACTGACTTTGAGAATATATATATTTTGTTTTTGCTTACCATAGTGTGTCTGTTACTGATGTATGAATTTCTCTCATTGCTTTCTACTTATTATGCGGCGGGAGGGAAGGGGGGAGGGGCGGGTTTTGGCGACGTGTTGCCTACTTTCATATCTTCTTGTCTTTTCGGTTGTGCTCTGGATTTATTTTTATTTGTTGGAAAGAACTGTGAACATGTAGCTTCCAAGTCGTTTTTTAAAGTTGATCCAGAATGTTGTGAAAAAGCCAAAACTGAAAACCAAAAGCAAATCTTTTTAGACATACAACCAAACCAAATAGAACAACCAAACCAATGCACAAGGTGTACGAGAGGTGTGTGTGTGTGTGTGTGTGTGTGTGTGTGTGTGTGTGTGTGTGTGTGTGTGTGTGTGTGTGTGTGTGTGTGTGTGTGTGTGTGTGTGTGTGTGTGTGTGTGTGTGTGTGTGTGTGTGTGTGTGTGTGTGTGTGTGTGTGTGTGTGTGTGTGTGTGTGTGTGTGTGTGTGAGCGTGTGTCGGTATAAGATAATTAAACTGTAAAACAACAATACCCTCTTCTGTCACATGCAGGACTAAATAACATCACTGAATGTTTATTTTGGACGGTTAGAGCAAGGCTGGTTTTCAACCTGGACCCGTTTTCATACAGTTTTCACTTCAAACTTCGTTTCTCTGCAGGCTTTAAAAGCAGAACATGTTCAATAGAAACTCCAAAAGTGAAACCCATCGGACTCCAAGTAAAGTTGAGTTTATTTATGATCAGATAACCTTGAATATGTATTTAAGCAGTGGGCTTAAGTAGTGGGCTTCTGAAGCTTGACTGCCTCTGTCATTCATATCTTTTAACAGATACAGATGTTAAAAGTGTAAACATGTTGAAAAAACACTTTTAGCCACATATAGCTTTTAGAGAGTGAAAAAGAAAGTCCAAAGACTTCACTGTTGGTTTGAAATAACATACATTTATTATCAAACTGCAAACCATATTGTAAGCAACTGTACACGACATTGTGTATTCTTGTTCATTTCAGAATGATTGAAAATCACATCCTTTGTTTCTCCCCAAAGTTATTGTAAGAATATGGGTTACATGTTCACAAGTTATGTGACCCCTAAAACAACTTAGAATCTTTAAAAGGCCAATAAATGCAGCACTCCGTGATCTTCATTCAGATCTAAAATCGCACATTGTCCTTGAACGCATCACCATAGTGAGAACAGGCGTTTTCATGTATTGAAATGCTGAAGCAAACCAGTAGTCAAATGTCTAAAAACTGGTTTTATACTTTAATAAATTATGACAAATAAAGTATGTTTAAAATGTAAGTTAATGGGCAAAAACATGTTCCGTTAAATACCTCTACAGTGAAGCACTTCATGTTAATTGGTCAATTTGATGGAAGGAAAACTTGAGGCCCAGGTTGAAAACAGAGTTAAGTTTTGAATGTCAAACACACAGGGAATTGAAAGTAACCAATGACAAAGATGATATGGGGAGGGGACGGGGGGGGGCGCTGACGTCTGAGACGGATTAAAGGCTGAGGCCGTCCACTTTTAGAGGGAATGTATCCATTAGTTCTTCTAGGTTTTTGTAGGGGGAAATAATCTATGTTCAACTGCTCTTACTTGTTGCTGATGTATAAAAAGGCTGGGATTATTATCCTTTGATGATGACGACCGAAGACGATGACTTGACCAAAAGCTTTAAAACTTTATCTCTCACGGGCTCTTTGTTGAAAAAAATATTTGTATTTATTGTATGAGGGAGGTGTGTGCTTTTTTCGGGGGATGGGAGAAGTGGTCCGTTTGTATTTTATTAACTTCCTTGTCTCTCACCTTTATTTATTGACTCTTTATTTATGTATTTATTGGATTCTATTTATGTCTTTCTGGATCTTTGTAATAGTTTTTCAAGGGTTGTTGTGAGGCTTGTATCTGCAGAGAGGGGTGTTCTTGAGATCAAGACAAGAAGAGAAGATGCCAAACGAATGTTTCAAAGCAAAACCAAACCTAAAGACTGTTGTCTTGTAACCTGAGACGGAGAACGAAAGTAGCCGGGAAACTGTGACGGAGGAAAGCTATGTTTTTTAATTAGCTTAGTTCACTGTTCCATCAACCCAGAGTGTGTTACGGTTTTCTAACTTAGAGTCGGTGATGTTTACTTCCCTATTTCTTTTTTTCAAAGCTTTTGAAACCTTGTGTTTCTCATTTTGGATCTTACATGATTCTGTGTTGCACTAGCTATTTCCTAATTCCAACTAAGCTTTTGGTTAATGTTTACAAATTGAAGATTTACACATAAGTACATTTAATTTGACTAGATCACACAAAGTTAATCTTAGGTAGAGATTAATGTTACTAAATATTTACACCCAGTAAATGTCGGGTGTAGGCGTTGCATTGCTAACTAAACTCACCGAGCAAAGCTAACGCTATCTTGCTAACATGTGACCTGTTAAGATTTAATAGTAAAAGAGCTAATGGTTGACTAAATTAAAATAGGATTTAAAGAAGTTTTACATTTTAGTTCACAAAAATACCAATATAGCTACTACTTAACACAAAACACTTTGCTAATAACAACTAGCTAAATAGCGTTGTTTAGGTTAGCATAATTGAAAATTAATACTACAAACTATTTCTTCATGTATAATGAAATAAATAGACATCAAAGCTTGTCATTTTGTCGGCTATGTCACAGCTTGTGATGCTAACGGAGACTTCCTGATGAGATGATGACTCACATGTTTCCTCACAGTCTTTATTTCCAAAGTCTTCCCCACAAAGATTTGTTTTGTACACTTGTTAGTGCAGCCTTATTTAGTAGAATGATTTTCCTAAAACAAGTTAGTGCTTGCTAAGAACCTGTATGGAAGCCCATTTCAGCAAAAGTGATGAAAAATAAAAGTTTCTTGAGAAATGTTCTCAAAATTACGAGTCTCTTAAAAGGAGATTCAATATTTGGAGAAAGTTTCTCTTTGATTGAGGATCTGCTTTCCATCGTAGGGCTTTTATTTATTTTACGGGCAGCAATGGGCTTCCATAGGTTCCAACACACACTTTATGATGGTTTTAACAAATAGCTTGTGCAACCTAGCCGTTCTTTAGGGCATATGATGTTGTGAGTCTGCTGTGCTGTCAGTCATTGTAAAGCAAACTAATATATGACATACAGAAAGCTCAGTCTCACGCACTCCAAACTGGTTAGACTGGCCGGCAGTGACATGTTTTTCTTAACGATAGCCCTAAGTTTGAAAAACACATCATTTCTGTCAAGTTGATTGACTTTCCTCCGTTCACGTCTCCTCCTCTGCTCTCTAAAAAGCTTTCTGATTCCCTCCGACCCTTCTTCAGGGAGGAGGGGTCATACTCATACCTCTGATACTCTGATGAAAAAACCAAATAGACATTCAAGCTTTAATGACAAAAAAAAATTCAAAAGAGACATGACTTGTCTGAACTCAGGAGTGAGGGATGTGAAACTGGCCCTAGCAAGTTGATGATGGCGAAACAAAGATTTTCAGTTCTTATGGCTTTAACCTACAGAATACACCACAGCGTCCTCTTGTGTTCTCCATGAAGTGCTGAGGATGTGGCTGTGTTTTGTGGAGAGGAAGGTGTGTGTATACTCATCACTGCTGTCGGAGGAGAACATGTAAACTCCAGGTTTTTACATCAATTACTAATTTATGTTTTAATGTGACCCATGGGCTGTTAAGAGTCCACTGCAGAGGCAAAGACTGTGTGGATGTCGAAGTAAAACTTAAGAAAATACAAATGTATATTTTTAAGATTTGTGTTTTTTGTCTCCGACAGCAGTGCAGCTCTGTTTGTGTGCCTGTGTAGTCCGACTCGGCTGTGGTGGACAGAGAATGATACCAAAGTTAAAACGTACCGCAGTGAGACGCTACACTACAAACACAACACACACACTCACGGTCATTCCATGTGTATATAAACATTCAGGATTCTTGATAGGGACTGTAACTGCTAAAATAAAAGCTATCCAGCGCCTGTTGTTAATATAATAACACTGTCAGATAATAAGAGCACTTCAGGCCTTGACAGTTTTTTTACTGTAGTTCTTCTGTGGCTGTGAATGTTCATTTTACTACTCTGTTCAACTTTCGAAGTCACCGTGACACATAAAAGTCTCTTTTTTTGGCCTTGGGAAAACTAAATGTAAATCGGAGTGAGATAAAAAAAAAAAAGAGAGAGTATCTTCAGTCGATATCGTTTGTCCCATTTATTTATTCAGGAGAAAATTAAAAGAAACGTTTTCCTTTCTATTTTTTCTACAATGCAGCTTAAATCCAAAGGTTAAGAGGACAGCAAAGATAGATTTTACTGCTAAAGAAAAAAAAACCTCAATAGTGAAAACCAAAGAGCTCCACTGTATCTCCTCACCTTGATTTTACTTTTTTTCCGCAAGGTCCCATGTTTTTACAATGGCTGTTAACTCCAAAAGTATTCTTTGATATAGCCTAATGATGATGGTGGCGATGGACGTAAAAGATGAAACAAACACTGCTCTGTAAGCTTTAGTATCTGTTTTTCGGGTTCTTTTTTCTGTTTTGGAAGTATGCTTACAATATGCTGTTTTTTGACCTCGAGGCTCTCTCTGTCTGAGTTGATTCTATAACCTGATTCTGTTGGAAACGTTTGGGTTTGAAACTGTTCTCTACTGTCCCTGAACTCATCGCTATCTGTGTGCCTGTTGTTTTAAGTGGCCAGGGAAACGGGGACAAAACAAACCTGTAAGTGTTAGGAATAAAGTGCGAATTTAGACCAAAGTCATCTCCTGTGTCCTTGTTGTTCTTTTGTTGTTTCTGTGTCATATTCCACAATGAAAATGTCAAAAGTGTGAAAGGAAAGATCATGATAGATCAATAAGAGTTTTGAATTAAGTTTTGCAAGTGGTTTTACATAGGTGAAAAAATATAAAACAAAAATATTTTAAAAGGATATAACTTATTATTTAAGAGTAAGTACTTAAGTACAACTTTAAGGTGCTTGTGCTTTTTTTGATAAGTCTATTCCAATGCATTTCTTCAGCCAATATTGTCCTTTTACACCACTACATTTATTTGTCGGCTTTAGTTACTTTGCTGTTTGCTGACCAACTATAGTCAAAATGAAAGTGTATAAAGGCTGGAGAAATCGGGGGAATGCAAGCCATTTTCAATATCATAATCCAATGTTTTGTTGACCTTTACATCCTTCCAGATCTCCTATGCAGATTCTGTCGCTTTTTAACATCACTTATACTTTCAACTTTGCTCAAAAAATAATTCCTGCTGCCACTTATTATTTTTTGAGCAAAGATGGCTGATGGCACTTTAATGTAATCATACAACATGTTGTTTTGGACCACAGATGTATCGGTTGGCCAAAAAACCCGCTCCTACATATGTGTAACTGCATGTTTTAATAGACTGTCTACCAGCCTGCCTGCTTGCCATTTAATCTCCGGAGATAATATTTCTATTTTGTGTTACTGCTGCCCCCAAGTGGCCAAAAATAAATATGCTAATGCCACTTCAAATCTGTTAGAAAATAACCTCACAGAAACAGTTAAAGGTGGGGTAGGTAAGTTTCAGAAACCGGCTCGAGTGCACTAAAATTTGAAAGTACACAGCCGAAAAGAATCCGCCCCTTCCTTCAGACTTCCTTACAGAGCACCTCCTCCAACACACATGAACGCGCACATGACGTCAGCAGACTGGTGAGAGTGGCCGCCTGTTGCTGGCGAGTCATTGAAGTACTGCTGCAATGCACGCCCAATGACGGCACGCCCAATGAGGGCACGAGATGGAAGGCTGACAGACAAGGCGGCAATCCAATCCGTTTAGCCGGCCCGGCTAAACGGATTGGTTGTACTTTTTACAGTTCTACGGCTTCCACAGATGACATTTTTTTATGGATTTTTTGTCAAAGCACTTCAGATATTCATTGCTATCGGGATGTTAAGAGCATTCATATAACAAAAAGTGTATCTGGAGCCGGTTTCTCAAACTTACCTACCCCACCTTTAATACTTTAATGGAAATAAAGTCAAACTCACAATAATAAAACGAGTTCAAAGGCCAAGCACTCTAGCTGTTCCACAAGCAGTAAATCAGAGAATTGTTACGGTGCTTTTGAAGATAACGTTTTTTTTTTTAAAGGGTCAAAAAAAGAAACCTTCAGGCATTCGAAGGGAGAGAGACAGGTATAATAAAAGCCTTTGACCCTGATGGATACACCGTGAGATGGAAAGTAGTCTGTGGTATGAACCTTTTAAACTCTCAATTAAATAAAGAATAACGCTTTTAATATTTGTTTTCTCCTTGGCTGTCTAAAGAATGTTTTTCTGTAAATTGGAAAGCAAAAAAAAGGTATATGATTTCAAAACCCCAGTCGGTTAAGTTCTAATCCAAAGTGTGTTTTTAATCTTTTATGTCACTTCAGGTATTTTTCTCTTTTTTCAGATGGTCGCTGACAGGTTCAGAAGAGCTGTGTCCAGTGGAAACAGGACATAACCAACATCTCACTCCCTAAGCGTCCAGGAGCGACGCTTGGCAGGGTCCCGTGGCATCCAGTTGTGACGCAAAGAGCTTTCAACTGATTGCAATGTATTCCCATCGGCGGCGGTATTTGACGCTCAGGGAAGCACCGCATCCATTTATGTCGGCAGCTCTTAAAGGCAATGTGAGCGTCCATTCCCATTGGATAACGGAAAATTGTACACCCGGAAGTAAGTATTCTCCTTACTGTCGATTTATTTAACAGTGATATCTCCACTACTCATCAACTCAAAATCACCAGATTACCTTTGTTAATTAAACGACATTGATAGGTTTAAATTGTGTTCAATACTTTTGTTTTTCCCCTTCAATTCTGAGAAACAACTTGTTTTCTCTGAAATGTGGAGCGCCAAAGAGACTACATTACCCACAATCCCCAGCTATTGTTGTGACGACGCCTGTCCGCTTTGACAAACCTCGTGATAAGTCAACAAGCTCTGTGATTGGATGAAACATAAATTCATACAAAAAAAGTGACGTAGATTTTACTCTCATCTATTATTCAAAACCATTCTATTTATTCTAACGTAAATTACATGCCAGTGTTTTATCTTTTTATTACTTATATTTGTATACTTTATTTGCTATGAGTTATATCTGAAGCAAATTATGTTTCTGAAGATGTGTAGTCAATTCCACCCTTCAATGTAGCATAAATGTGAACTCTCATTACAGGAACAATACCAGGAAACAGACGTAGGTAGGAAAGATCCTCAGCTCGCTGATTTTCTTTGAATATAAGAATGTAAATACTGAGTTGAGAGAATAGTCAGGGGATTTGGGTGATGGGAGACACATCTAGGAAATCACAATTTCAATAGCTTACCATTAAATAACGGATATATCTTTCTGTCTGTGATGTTTTACAAATCAGATATTAATGTGTAGAAGTAAAACATGAGAAATAGTATAGCAATATTCTGTAAAATTATGTAAAAACATAAATAAAACTAAATATATTCAGATGTTATACATACATAAGTGTCCTACACTAATAATACAAAGTTATTATTAGTATGCTGTGTGCACCTAGTGGTTAAAGCACGTTATTGAATTATATTTGTTGAATAATGTTATTTTTGTTGAATAATGTTATTTGATGAAAAAAATATTAAGAGTACATACTTTCATAGGGGGAAAGTAGAAGGTCAATGATAGAAATATAGAATATAAAAAATCAAGAAGATACTGTAAGTGATTTCTACAATAAAACAGTTTAGTGCACGATGTACAAAGATATTAATATGAGGATGTGCAACACAGACAAACTAATTAACCTTTATTAACACATTAAAGAATACTTTAGGTTAAGGTCTTCTTTCAAATAAGAAAAAAGCTTTGGGGGTATCTACAGATAAATATTAAGCCTGATAAAGTACTTAACGTCTAATATATTGCTTTCCTGCAATGTTAACTATGTTGAAGCACTTATTTTAACTGATATTATACACATTAATTATACTCTTATGTCTGTAGATACTATAATAAATGTGCAGAATATGACAGTTTAATGGTGGAGGTTCACACATATTGATAGATGTCTTGTAATGCACTGTTGAGGAACCTGCGACCCACATTTTTCATTCATTGCATAACTACACCGTAGTTGTGTATATGATATGTCAATACACCTTTGAAAATCTTGAAATCTTGAAAGGGATGTGCAAAATAGCCATAATATACAGTCTTTAATTAACTCTTAGTAGAGAATAACGAGTAATTAATGCTTTATAGGGATTTGCAGATAAATGTTTAGTCTTCTCGAGCACCAACTATCAAATATCTCTCCTGATTGTTGGCACTTGACAATCACCTTCCCTGAATTTTACTCAGGTGTAACTAAAGTCTGCTTTAAGGGTTGTTTATATTTCACATCATTAATCAGAATCTGCAAAGTAACTCAAATAAATGTAGTGGAGTAAAAATACCAGGTTAACCTCTGAATTGTAGTGGAGTAGAATTACAAAGTAACAATGAGCTGTCATGTGGGTATATATGAATGCTGCCCATTATGGATACAAGCGATTTTCACCCATGTAGTAATTACATGTTTGCCACTCCAACATCCAATCCCAGAGCTTGAAGATTAATCACGGGGTTTGTCGCTAAGCGGACAGGCGTCGTCACAACAATAGCTGGGGATTGTGGGTAGTGTAGTCTCTTTGGCACTCCACATTTCAGAGAAAAACAAGTTGTTTCTCAGAATTGAAGGGGAAAAACACAAAAGCATTGAACACAATTTAAACCTATCAATGTCGTTTAATTAACAAAGGTAATCTGGTGATTTTGAGTTGATGAGTAGTGGAGATATCACTGTTAATCAATCGACAGTAAGGAGAATACTTACTTCCGGGTGTACAATTCTCCGTTATCCAATGGGAATGGACGCTCACATTGCCTTTAAGAGCTGCCGACATAAATGGATGCGATGCTTCCCTAAGCGTCAAATACCGCCGCCGCCGATGGGAATACATTGCAATCAGTTGAAAGCTCTTTGTGTCCGTTTATGAAGCTGAAGGAGCCTCGGCGCGTCACAACTGGACGCCACGGGACCCTGCCACACTGCAGAAATTGTTCAGGAACGGTTTGAGGAACACGACATAGAGTTCAAGGTGTGGACTTGGCCTCCAAATTCCCCTGATCTCAATCCTAACGAACATCTGTGGGATGTGCTGAATAAACAAGTCCGATCTATGGAGGCCCCACCTCGTAACTTACAGGTCTAAAAGGATCTGCTGCTAACCTTTTGGAGCCAGACACCACAGCACACCTTCAGAGGTCGAGTCCCTGCCTCGACGGGTCAGGGCTGTTTTGGCCTTAAAAGGGGGACTTCATATTAGGCAGGTGGTCATTATGTTATGGCTGATCGGTGTATATTTATATATGTTAGTAAATAGTGCTGACCAGGTAATGTGGGTTTTAGAGAAGCTTGTAGAACAATGAATCCTTTCGCTCTCAAATTAGAAATTAAACTTCTTAGCATCAAAAAACATGTACAATTACTCATTTTGTACTTGAGTTGTAGAGTGTTCTTGTGTTTATTGGTAAATGTATTGTTGGACTTTTATGGCAGGTTTGTAAGAGCTGTGCTTATTTGGTGCCCCTATTATCTCGTGGCATTTTGAAATGATTGCAAAGTAACAAAAGGTAAATGCAGGCCTTGTGAAGTAAGTCCATATTTCTCTCTGAATTGTAGTGAAGTACCGTATAGCAGAAATGGGAATACTCAAG